TGGGGATGGGGAGGGGGATGGGGATGGGGATGAGGGGAATTGTAGCCAGAGTCGTTAGTTTCACTTATTTTCATCGAATGAACAGGCTGATTACAATAGCCATGTGCCCAAATGAGCTACTCCGGGGAGTACCTCAGGGTTTAAGTCCGACTAATCTCAAGCCGATGTTGGCGCAATCATACAGGGATTATTGCGAGCCGAGTATCTCACATCAGCACCGGTTGCAACCAAGGACCAGAGGACCAGGGTTGATTGGAGGCCGTGATCCTTCCAATTCAGCTATCGTGGGCTTCGATGCACCAAAGCGACCTTCCTTCTAATTCTCGCTGCCTGCTTGGGGGCTGGTCTCGCTATCTCAGGATGCTGGATGTTTGTCAGCAGCACATACTGTACATAGTAGTGAGTAGTGAGTAGTGAGTAGTGAGTAGTTAGTTGTTGCCATCAATCAATCCAACCTCAACGGAGGACTTCCTTCAGGCGATACAATGGAGCTCACGATACCGACGCCCACGGCGATTAGCGAGCGTCGTCGGATGCAGAACCGCAATTCGCAGCGCAGGTTTCGTCGTATGCCATGCCCCTGCTCTGTCTGGGGGACAACACTAACCATGCGGTCCTGGACCTGCAGAACGACGAGAGCAACAGCTGCAGCAACAACAGCAACAGCAACAACAACAGCAGCAGCTGCAGCACAATCCAGTAGACTCAATCCTGAGCCTGAGTCCCACTGATCCATATTCAGCCATACCATCCATTCCGCTCGAGCTATCATCATCAACATCCCCATCCACGTCCGCATCCTACTTCCCCTTTCTCCAATTCGAGGACCCCAGCGACCTAGGGCAAGGGCAAAGAGACCGATACCTGACCCAATGCACAGCAGCAGCAGCAGCAGCTACAACCGAAGCAACCGGACTCTTCGCGATAGACACCACCACCCTAGCAATGAGCGACATCTCCTCCTCCTCCTCCTCCTCCTCCTCCTCCTCCTCCTCTTCTACCAGTACATCCACCAGCTCGCTCCTCACTCCACCACCATACATCACTCTTCACTCCCG